TGCCACAGGTGTGTCGTTCTTCGGAGGCAGCCAATTATTTATGGAAAACTCAGCCTGTGTCACCAGGAAATAATATCTCAGAACCACAGGCTGTTTCTCGTGGTCCTGGCAGAGCTTAATGTCTAAGTTCAAGACGCGAGCCCTCTGGGATCACAAGTAAGGCTCTCGGGAATGCGAGGCAAGGGCAGCAGGTCACCAAGAGAGAGCTCGCCCAGAGGCTGGACTCCGCCTGCCCACTTCTCCATCCCCTCCCTTTATTTTCATTTCTGACTTCGCTGTCCGTGATCCAGAGGCCTGCATAGAACAGGACGGTAGGCTCACACCTCCCTACTTTTCCAGGACGTGAAGGCAGTCTGCTCCACCTGCATGGCAATTTCCTTCTTCTTGCTGCCCATGGCTTGTGGAGCCCACAGAGGGCCGCCAGGCGATGGCATCTGAGCAGCTAAAGAATTGGGGTCTATTGAGGTATAATTTAAATGCAGCAACACTCACTCGTCTTAGGTGTGCAGTTTTGAGTTTTGACAGATGTATACAATCATGTAACCACCACCCTAGTCAAGATAAACAATGTTTCCTTCACCCCCAAAAGTTTCCTTTAGTAGTCAATCCTTTCCTCTCCCCCCTGACTCTGGCTACCACTTACCTGATTTCTGTCCCTATAGTTTTGCCTTTTCCAAAATATCACATAAATGGAATCTATACATTTAAAAAATACATGTTTTTATTTATCTTAGAGAGGAAGGAGAGAGGGAGAGAAAAAAAAACATAGATGAGAGACATTTATTGGCTGTCTTCTGCATACCCCCTATTGGAGATCGAACTCAAAACCTGGCAAGTACCCTGTCCCAGAATCAAACCTGCAATCTCATGGTGCACAAAATAATGCTCACCCAACTGAGCCAAACTGGCCAGGGCAGAATATACATTTTTGAGGGGGAAAAAAAAAATGTTGTGGCCAGGGCCAGTTTGGCTCAGTGGTAGAGCATCGGTCTGCAGACTGAAGGGTCCCGGGTTCGATTCCGGTCGGGGGCATGTACATTGGTTGCGGGTGCAACCCCGGTGGGGGTTGTGCAGGAGGCAGCTGGTCAATGTTTCTCTCTCATCGACGTTTCTGGCTCTCTATCCCTCTCTCCTCTCTGTAAAAAATAAATAAAAATATATTAAAAAACAACAACAAACAAACAAAAAACATGGGCAAAAAAAAAAGTTGTGAATCTTTTAAAAACTCTTCTTAAAAAACCCTTTGGGAACTGAGTTTTAGGTGGTGATTCTTGGTGCACAAATGTTACTGGCCCTTCATAAGCGAATTTTGTTCCACAGCAGTGACATGCCTTGGTTTCTAGGTAGGTGGAACAAACGCCTGTTACTGTTGAATCTCTAAGCTAAAGTAATCTCTCTATGGCTAGCCCTGCAGATCACATTCTCTTCCATTTTCAAGTGAAAAAACCTGGTAAGTAATGGATAATAGAAATGAATTTAGGATCGAGGAAAGAGATTGAAATAAAAGCTCACTTGAGCTGTCGGTAAGAAGCAATGTGACATGTTTGAAACTCTCCCCTCTCCCCAGGATTATTCATGGTCTAATAAATCAAATGAGGAAATTTTGTATTGTGAAGATAGCTAGGGAGGACTAGTAGAGCATAAGAATGAAGAGTCAACTTTCCTTAGCTATGAAGTAACTGTTGACTCGTATTGTGAGGGAGCGGCATATGGTAATTGCTAGCACTAGAAGGGGATGGCTGTGTGCACTTCCTGTCAGGCCTGTGGTAGCTGGCAGTGTGCATGGCAAAACGGGGCTGGGCATGGCATTCAGAACAAAATCTGGAGAGGTTTTGCTACTTGCTGTTGTGGGACCTTGAGTAAATCACAATGAACTATCATTTCATTATCTCTTGCCCATTTTTCTACACAATTGGAGTTTTTTCTTTTCCATTTTTTCTAATTATTTTTAAAAATATATTTTTATTAATATCAGAGATGGAGAGTGAGAGTGAAACATCAGTGATGAGAGAGAATAATTGATTGGCTGCCTCCTTCGCACCCCACACTGGGGATGGGGCCCATAACCCAGGCATGTGCCCTGACCAGGAATCAAACTGTGATCTCCTGGTTCATAGGTCAAAGCTCAACCACTGGACTATGCTGACTGGGCCATTTTTTTTCTAATTCTTTATCCTTTATGACAGGCATCACAGGTAATTTTTGTTTTGGTTTTTATATCTCAGACTCTCTTCTGGTGTTTTAATCATAATAAAGTTATACATATGGACAGAAAGTGTGTCAAACTGAAAGCCATGTGATTGAGGCATTGTAGAAATGGACCCTCCTACCCAGTGCCCAGCCAAATCCCAGCTGACTTGCTGACCACAATCTGATAGGAGATAGAGTCAGAATCACACAGCTAAGATGCTCTTGAATTCCTAATGTGAAAAACTGTGAGATAGTAAATGTTTGTTTTAAGCCACAAAGTTTTTTTTTTTTTTAAGAATTTAACAGCAATAGATAAGTAATAAATCTATTAATTCATTTTCCTGTGAGCAAAGCACATTAGATTTTAATATATGTGTATCTCTTGCTGCTCAGGGTCTATTCTTTGATTCTGTTCTGGCTCTTGGCTATGGTTCAGACAACTGAGGTTATAGGTTACTTGAGGCCCAGTGCACAAAATTAGTGCACTGGGGGGGGGGGTGTTTCTCAGCTTGGCACCCTATTGCAGTCTGGGACTCTGGGAGATGTCCACCTGCTGTCTTAGGGCCTTAGCTGGGACTCAGACATTCCTTTCGTAGTCCAAGACTCCTCACTCCTTAACGCCCATCTGCAGCTGAGGTAGGACTGCACTCCCCAGCCATGAGCCTGACTTCTGACTGAGCAGTGTTCCCCCTGTGGGAGCACACTGACCACCAGGGGTAAGCTCCTGCGTTGAACATCTGCTTCCTGGTGGTCAGTGCACGTTATAGTGACCCGTTGTTCCACCGTTCGGTTGATTTGCATATTAGCCTTTTATTACATAGGATGATCTCTGGATACATGCATAAAGTGGTGCTGCATTATCATAGAGCTGCCTAAGACCCACACAGCAGCGTGCAGTTCTGGAGACTGTTCTGCACCGGTTAAGATCTAACCAAAGTGCATCACTCTGCTATGTACTCCAGAACTCGGCCATCTCTCAAGAGTGACTACCTTTGAGAAAACCACCTGACATAGAAACAAACATTTATACCTACAAACCATGGTGTTATTTTACAGTGAAGAGTGTGTCCTTTCTTAACTCTTCTGTGAATGATTTCTCATCTGTGAAATGGCAATAGCTATTTCTACCTTATAAGATTTTGTGAGGATTATACAAAGTTCCTAATGCCTCACACACAGAAAGTGCTTAGTAAATATTAATGTTATTACACCTAGGACTTAAGGACTGTTACTTCAGTCTCCCAAGCTAGAATCTTAACTCCTTCCTCTCCCTTGCTCTCTAAGTCACTCCCTTCTCCCACCTCACCCGCCTCTCCACAGCTACTCCCCTAGTTCAGGCCCTCATTATTTCTTGCCTAGCACAGTCCAGTTTACAGCCATCTAGTAAATCCTATCTTCCCCAAATCAGGGACACTTAAGAGTAAGTGGTTTGTACTTCTCCTCCCCAACCAGAGGATAAATAGCTTAAATCACCTACTCGGGAGACAATCAGCAGTGTTGGGAGCCGAGTCCCCTACCGACCTGAGAATCAGGGGATGGAGCAAGGGTAGGTAGCCCTGCCTGCTCTCCCCCAGAAGTCGGGTCACTTGGGGACGTGGCAAGCAACAGTGTCCTTCGTTCTGCTGTGAGTGCAAGATTGGAATCTGCAAACACGTCCTTGAATTAACAGCAGAGCACAGCTGGATGAACTTTTCTGGCTAGATATCTTCCTGTGTAGGTCTTAGGGAACTGGCATGCAGCATCATGTCCTTGGAGAAAGCCATTTGGAGGAATGCCCAGCTTTAGTGTATAAAAGAGATTGTGCCCTTAATAAACTTGCTGCAGTGCCATCGAGCATTACAGCCCTCCTGAAGCCCCGCTGTTCCTGTCTTTTCTTTTTCTCAGCCTCCTAGCCATACCTTCAGGACCTGTAATACCGGCTGATTCAGGTACAGCAGATATCCAAATAGTGCCATTTGCCAACCACACTCAAGGACAGATGAAGTTAAAAGAATAAATCTCATGTTGGCAATCTGCATAAAGCTGATGAATGTTATATTGAGATCCTCCCCTAAATAAACCCCTCAAAATAAAGGTCCAGCTCCATGCTCCCCTTCTTTCCTCACAGGCATGTACTACAAACTTCTAAAGGACCCACGAGGCTTGGAACCAGGATAGCAACGGGCAGTGGCAGTTCATCTGGAACAAACTCCCTGAGCCTCTCTTCAAGGCCCCTTTTCTCTGACGTCTTAGTGAGCCAATGCAGTAGAGCCCAGGCTCATTTCCTCTGCCCTTCCTGCTTTCATCGTCCCCACCTTTTTTTTTTTTTTTTTTTTTTTTTCAAGTCCTCACCTGAGGATAGGTATTCCATTGACTTCCAAAGAGAGAGAGAGAGAGAAGGGGGCGAGAAGAGGACAAGAAACATTGGTATGAGACACATCCATTGGTTTCTCCTGCCATCCCCCACGATACGTGCCCTTGACCTGAAATCCAACCCCCAGCTCTTCAGTGTTCGAGCTGACGCTCCAACCACTGAGCCCACCAGCCTGGGTCCAGCTTTAATAAATGTCCTCTAAAATTTACCAGGACTTGTGTTGTGAATTTTTTCCACAAACTACCGACTGGCCCACTCAGGGCCAGGTCCCCTTTTGGGTCACATCACTGGCCTGGGTGTGTATCACACTTTTATGCCGGCAGGTCACGGCCCAGAAGCATTCCTGCTTTTGGTCCAGTGTCCCTTGTGAGGGCTGCGTGGCTCTCCTTTAATGCGGCGGTGACAGCCCTCGTCCTCAGAGAGTGGCCTGGGTGGGGACAGGGCTCTGGAGGCGGCGCTTGCTGGCGGCCGCACCACGCCTCTCCCCCTGGAAGGCACCAGCCAAGCCTCACCAGCCGGTTCCAGGAGCCGGCGGTGGCGGTTCGACCTCGGAGACACAGGCCTCCATCCTCAGGCCCGGGACGATCGCGGGCGGCCCCAGGGGGTCCCGGAGCGCCGGACACCATGAGCGGTTACCTGCGCTCCGGCTCCAGCAACTGGCGGCGGGCAGCCACCCTGGTGCTGGCGGCGGGCTGGGCGCAGCCAGGCCCCGGGGCGCCGCCGCTGCCGCCGCCGCCGGCCGAGGGCTTCCGGCTGCTGCTGCTGCAGCGCTCCCCGCGGCAAAGCTTCATGCCCGGGGCGCACGTCTTCCCGGGCGGCGTGGTGGACGCGGCGGACCGCTCAGACGAGTGGCTGCGCCTCTTCGCGCCGCACCACGGGCCGCCGCGCTTCGGCCTGGGCCCCGCGCCGCCCTCGCCCGCCGCCTTCCCGGTGCTGCCGGCCGCCGCGGAGGACCGCGAGGGGCTGCCGGACGACGTGGCCTTCCGCATCTGCGCCATCCGCGAGACCTTCGAGGAGGCGGGCGTGCTGCTGCTGCGGCCCCGCGCCGCCCCGCCGCCCGCCGCGCCCGCGCCCGGCCGCGCCCTCCCGCCGCCCGCCGACCTGGCCGCCTGGCGCGCCCGCGTCCGCCGCGACCCGCGCCACTTCCTGCGCCTGTGCGCGCGGCTGGACTGCACCCCCGACATCTGGGCGCTGCACGCCTGGGGCGCCTGGCTCACGCCCTTCATCCGGCCCGGCGGCCGCCGCTTCGACACGGCCTTCTTCCTGTGCTGCCTGCGCGACCCGCCGCCCGTCTTCCCGGACCTGGATGAGGTGGTGGGCAGCCAGGTAGGGCGTCCTCCCCCTTGACCAGAATCGAACCTGGGACCTCTTAGTCCGCAGGCCACGCTCTATCCACCGAGCCAAACCGGTTTCAGCTAATTCCGTTTCCTTTTAAAGGTCATTGAGACTTGCTTGATAGCCACATACAGGGCCTATTTTGGTGGGTTGTGTCCTTTGCTTCTAAAATGAATATTCTGCTGTTTGAGGGAGTGTTTGTAAAAATTGACAATTAGGTTAGATTTCTCGATAGTGTCTTTTAGGTCTTCCCGTATTTACTGGTTCCATCAAATACTGAACTAAGAGAGGAATGCTTAAATTTTCAGCGAATGGTTGTCTTTTTTCAGTTCTATAAGGCTTGACAAGGATAGGACTGGCCAGGTCTGGATCTAGCCCAATTGGGGTGGGGTGTGGTGGGGAGGCGGCGAGGCCGGGTCTGGGTTTCACGTGATTAAAAAAAAATATGTATATTTTTAATTGATTTTTTACAGAGAGGAAGGGAGAGGGATAAGAGAGTTAGAAACATGGATCAGCTGCTTCCTGCACACTCCCCACTGGGGATGTGCCTGCAACCAAGGTACATGCCCTTGACCAGAATTGAACCTGGGAACCTTTCAGTCCGCAGGCCGTCGCTCTATCCACTGCTCTATCCACTGAGCCAAACTAGTTAGGGCTGTACAATGGTTTTAAGGTCCTTTTCTGCTATTTTCATTATCTCTGTAGTATTTGGGGTCTGTTTCTGTTGACAGATTTTTCCTCTAGTTATGGGTACTGTTTTGCAGTGGGTATTGCAATTTTTGGTTGAATGTTGGGAATTGTGATTTTGAGTTGGGTACTGGATTTTGTCATATTCCTTTAAGGATTGTTGAAGTTTTCTTGGCAGGAACTTAAGCTCTTGCAAATTAACTTGATCCTTTTGAAGTTTGTTACTTTAAGTGGTCTTAGGGTGGGTCTATGGTAGTCTATTCTAGGGCTAATAGCTTCACTTTTAATGTGTGCCCCCTGGGGGTCTACTGAATGGATAACTGTAAATTCAATGAGATCTCTCCACAGGGGTTGAGGGAATTTGAAATACTTCTGGCCTAAGGTGAGCCCTGGAATTGTTGGTCTTAAAGCTCTCAGGTAATTGTTGTTTTCTTAAAATTTGTTCTCCAGTGTCATGTGGTTTCACTTTATGCATATGTTGATTACTGTTTAGTGAAGACTCCAGAGCTCCCTGTACATATTTCAGGAGGTTTACCTTGTGTGGATCCCTCCCCTCAGGTACATTGCCTTCCCAATTCTCCTCTGTATTTGTCTTTCCAAACTCTGGTCCTTGTCTCTTCAAGTCAGTGAAAACCTACACATTAGCTTCCCCTCTTGGTGCTGTGGTCTGGGGATTACCTTTAGGAAAGAAGCCTTGGCCACTCTTGGAACTTTACTGAGTCCACCTAATTTGTTTTTCTTTCCTCACATACAATTCTTCATTTTTCAGTGTTCAAAACTGTGATTTTATAGACTTTGTCTACTTACCTATTTTTTGCATTATGTTGGGGGAAGGTAATATAGAAGAGGAGGTTCCAATAAATAATTCTTACCCTGGTCTAGTCTAGTGGTTCTCAATAGGGGATTTGTCTTCCCCACACCCAGGTACATTTGTCAATGTCTGAAACATTTTTAGTTGTCGCAACTCAGGGACTTCTGGGGGCTTTTACTGGGTGGAGCCTAGGTATGCTACTAAACATCCTTTAGTGCACAGGACCACCTCCCAGGACAAAGAGTTATCTGGTCTAAAGTATCAACACTGCTGAGGTTCAAAGCCTAGTGGAAACAAAGTATTTGAGCAATGTTTTACTAGTAGCAAGTAACCAATAAAAGGTAAATTCTTTTAACCTATGGTTTGAACTAACCGGAACAGGTTGGATTAAGTGGGTCCATGCTTATTGTTTAACCCTTCATCTTGATTAATGTCATTGAACTCACATAGAACTGACAAAGCAGAATGCTTTGTAAATAACTTGATTGGGTGGTCCTTTGAGGTCCTAGGTTGGTTTACAAAATGTAGCCAACTTCAGAATAATCTGGGGTTCTTGCTGAACAGATTTCTGGGCCTTAGAGACTGAAGTTTTAACAAGCTTCTTAGGGGATCTTGAAGCATATACGAGCTTGTGAACCTTTGGCCTATAGTTATCCAAGGCAGAAATCAATGTCAACTCCCTGGGTTTGGGCGTGGGAATCAGTTTTCCCCAGCATAAGTGGATATTTTGTAAGCTAGTTAAAGAAAGACCTATTGGGGTTATTCCATATTCATTGAGTCAGCAGCTCGTTTTGTGCAAATGTGTATGGAAGGAGGGCTCCGGAAGAGGGTAAGTCATTGCACTGAGACAACATAAGTTAAATGGGCAAACACTGGCTGATTGATGCCCTGCTTTTATTACATTCCTGGGACCTTCCTTGAAAGCTCCTACTGCTTCTTACTTTTTACCCCCATTATGACATGAGGTACATATCATGTTCCATTTTGGTTTCTGGAGACCCCCCAGCGCCTGAGAGAGCTTTGTCTTGTCACTACCACGTCCTCCGGGCCTGGCCAAAGCACCTATTTATGGGAGAAACAAATGGATACTATTATAAATTCTCAGTTTGCTGCCATGAGTTTACACTTCACAGTCTTCTTAGACCGGAACTGCTTTGCCTTCTCAGTATCACCTGCCCTTTATGCTGAATGACTCTCAACCCTGGTGATCTATGCTGGTTTATTTACTAGTTCTCAGGGTCAGTATTCCAATAATAAACTCTTAAGGGGATCAACACAGCTTTCTTTATCAAACCTTTTCATGTTGTCTCCAAGTAATCTAGCAAGGCACATTAATGAATTAATTTTATATATTCAATGAGACATTAGGTACTGATCTAACAATCTCAAATCTTGTATTGTTTATGAAATAAACCTTAGGAAACCATACCTTTGTCTTCCCCAGTGGTCATCTCCGTCAGAGGCAACTGAAAGTTTCATATCAAAAGAAATTTGGTTGGCACCCCCGCAGTTCTATGAAATAAGAAGACTGGAAAACTTTGCCTCTCTCTTGGAACTGCACAAGTTTTGTTTGGATCATGAATTAGAAGGGGTAGAAAGATGGATGCCGATCATGTTATTAACTGCTGATGGGCAAATCTCACTTTTACCAGGTAAAATCAGTGAAGTTTCAATACTTTAATTAGTATTCGTATTTAATTCACTGGGCTATATTGGCAGTATTGCCCAAAAGAGAGGACACGATTTATAGTCTGTTTTATACACTACAGAAGTATTAATGAAATAAGATCAAAGTCTATAAAATATCCATAGTATTTATTATAACCTGGAGTTCTGAATAAGTTACTTTATATATACACATACACATTTATGTAACTATATTTCCTAGACATTGACAAAGTTCTTTCATGTTATTTCACTTTTTTACATTTTAATTTTGAATCATGAGAACTTGTAAACTGTCATCTTATTTGAATTAGGGAGTTTGTTGGTAGTCAGTTGTTGGGCAAATATAAGATGGAGGTTTTGTGACAGTTTAGCATTGGGCTTGTGACCTGTCTTATTTATGGCTACCTGTCTCAGTTCTCACAATAGTGATACTATTTATTACTCATCCTTCTGTGGGAGAATTTAGCAATATTAATGTATAAATGAAATTTTTTCTGATTTTAAAATTATTATAGCATTACACATTGAGACACAAAAATATGTATGGACAAGGCCAATATTAATATTGACCATAATAAAGAGAGTCATGAACTATATAAAAGTTATAATTTATGATGAAAAAGTATCAGTCATAGATATTCATGTGCCCAAAGAAAGTTTTTGGCTGGGGAATGGGAAGCTAGGGAATGTACCGTATTTTTTGGACCATAAGACGCACCGGACCATAAGACGCACCAGTTTTTAGAGAAGGGAAATGAAGAAAAAAAGATTCTGAAACAAATAGTGTCCTAAAATATTTTATGTGCATTAAAACCCAACATCACAGTCATAAACATATGTAATCAACCCTGTAAAGTAAACAGCAGCATTTAGAACCATTTTAGAGCCGGGCAAGCACACAGAGACCACACAGAGCCGGGCAAGTAAAAAAACTTTTTTTTTAAAAGTATATGTGTAGGCTATATTTGGACCATAAGACGCAGGGACTTTCCCCCCCCACTTCTGGGGGAAAAAAAGTGCGTCTTATGGTCTGAAAAATACGGTAGGTATTAAAAACACAAGAAAGAGTTCAAAACAAAGTTTTAGCCCTAAACACACACACACACACACACACACACACACACACACGAAAGAAATTGAGATAACTGATAAAATTAGGGTTATTTATTATCTTAGTTCTAAGCACATGAAACAGATTAAAAAAACTGATTTATATGTCACTATATATTGGAATAAATATATATGAAAAAAATATATATATTGGAATATATATGTATGAAAATAACACTGTGAATTAAAATATTTTTCAGGAGATGAGCTGTACTTAGAAGATTCAAACTTCTTAGAAAATAATTTGTCCACTGAAAAAAAGACTGAAGAAATCATGAAGGAAGGCAAGAAATTTCACCGCATAGTGATGTACAGTCGCCATGTTTATAGTATTCATGTGACTGTTCAGTCAAAGTATAAACATGTTTATCCCAAGACTTATGTAATAAGTAAGAGCCATTTGTAGTGCATTGTTTACTTGTAAGCTGGCCTACTTGAAGTTGTCCTAATAAGTAATGAAGGATAAATAGACTTGCTTGGAACTTAAAGGAACTTTGTGCCTATACTGAAAAAGTTATAGTACAATGTTTTATATTTTAAGTGTATTATGGAGCTCTCTTGTATATTTTATCTAAACTTTACAGTGTCACGCAAGTATAAAGTATTAATGATATTTTTACTAAAATGAGAAGAAAAATTTCACAAGGGTTTTCACTTCGGTATTGTTTTATTATTAAAAGTTTAAATAAACTGTTCTACTGCCATTGTTTTTTAAATGTCCAGTGTATTAGCACTTTCTTTGATGTGCTTAGGAGATTGATCCATGAATTCCTTAGACTGTCTGCTAGAATTAATTTAAGGGTGTCTGATTACATGATGAATAATAGACTTATTTAACCTTTTAGTGAAATTGTCATTATTTTTTAAAATACATATTTCTAATATATTTTATTGGTTTTTTACAGAGAGGAAGGGAGAGGGATAGAGAGTAAAAACTATTTTTTTTTTATTGATTTCAGAAAGGAAAGGAGAGGGAGAGAGAGAAAGAAACAATGATGAGAGAGAATCATTGATTGGCTGCCTGCTGCCCACCCACACTGGGCTGGGGATTGAGCCCTTGAATGGAGTCAAATGAGGGACCCTTTAGTCTGCAGGTTGAAGCTCTATCCCCTGAGCCAAACCAGCTAGGACATTGTTACTTTGTTAGTCTTTAGGTTGATGATAAAAATACAGTTCTGGCTCTCTCTTTCTCCACCATCACCATCGAGGTGCCTGTGTTCGCCTCTCCTTCACCATGTCTTCCCACAAGACTTTCAGGATCAAGATGTTCCTGGCCAAGAAACAAAAGCAGAATCGGCCCATTCCCCAATGGATTCCGATGAAAACTGGTAATAAAATCAGGTACAACTCGAAGAGGAGACATTGGAGAAGAACCAAACTGGGTCTATGAGAACTCACTCATGAGAGATGACTCACATATTTATGCTGTATCCAGGTTGCCTACACCTTTAAATGATTGAAAAGATGCTACTGTCTGGACAGTTGGAGCATTTAAATTGGAGAATTAATGGACTTGTGATTTTACTCTCTTGATTCCCCCCCCCCCCCCCGCAATAGTAGGATGGTTCAGTAATAAATGTGTGAGATCTTTTTTTAAAAAAATAAAGATACAATTCTGTTGAAAACCAAATGGCATTAAATTATTTATTAGGTTTACCAAATTGGGAATCTGTCTTAATTAATATTTTAGAGAAATATGATGCCATGTCAAAAGCTATAACTATTTTTACTCTGGAGTTCTAGTTAATGAAACAGGTTAGCGAGATGTAGAATTAACATTTAATGGTGTTTATTAATGTTTATTTTTAGTATTTTTAATATGGGTAACTTTTCCACCTTCTCCTAAGGGGAATAATATTTGTTGATTAAAGATGGGAAAGACCTAGCTGGTTGGTCTTTTCACCATCTATTGAAGAGACTGTCTTGACTCCATTGTATGCTCATGCCTCTTTTGTCAGATATTAATTGAGTGTAATGATTTGGGTTAATTTCTGGGGTCTTTGTTCAGTTCCATTGATTTATATGCCTGTTCTTGTGCCAGTACCAAGCTGTTTTGATTATGGTGGCTTTGTATAGTATAACTTGAAATCTGATATTGTGATTCTTCCAACTTTGTTGATCTTTTTTTTTTTTTTTAGATTTTATTTATTTTATTTATTTATTTTTAAATAAATTTTTATTGTTCATATTATTACAAATGTTCCCTTCTCACCCCACCCTCTGCCCTTTCCCCACCCCCCATTGTCCTCATCCATAGGTGCACAGTTTATGTTCAGTCTCTTCCCACATCCCCCTCTCCCCTTTTCCCCAAGAATAAACAGTTCACTCCCCTTCCATACCTCTGATTCTATTATATTCAACAGTTAATATTGTTCCTGAGATTTTTTTTTTAGTTTCCTTGGTTTTTAGATTTACTTGTTGATAGTTATGTATTTGTTGTTCATAATTTTTATCTTTATTTACTTTCTCTTCTTAAAGAACCCCCTTCAGCAATTCATATAATTCTGGTTTGGTGGTGATGAACTCCTTTAGCTTTTTTTTATTAGTGAAGCTCTTTATCTGACCTTCGAATCTGAGTGATAGCTTTGCTGGATAGATTATCTTTGGCTGTAAGTTCTTGCTATTCATCACCTTGAATATTTCTTGCCATTCCCTTCTGGCCTGCATGGTTTCTGTTGAGAAATCAGCTGACAATCGTATAGGTGCTCTTTTATAGGTAACTACCTTCTTTGCTCTTGCTTCTTTTAATATTCTCTTTTTGTCTTTTGCTCTTGGAATCTTAATTATGATTTGTCTTGGTGTGGTCCTCTTTGGATTCCTTTTGTTTGGAGTTCTGTGCGCTTCCTGGACTTGTAAGTCTAATTCTTTCACCTGGTGGGGAAAGTTTTCTGTCACTATTTCTTTCAGTATGTTTTAGATATCTTGCTCTCTCTCATCTTCTGGGACCCCCATAATTCTGATGTTGGTTCGCTTGAAGTTGTCCCAGAGGTTTCTTACATTATCTTCAACTTTCTGGATTCTCTGGCCTTCTTGCGTCTGCGGAGGAGTGTCTTTTGACTCTTTATGTTCCAAATCTTTGACTTGCTTCTTGCGATCTTCCATTCTGTTTTTAGGACTCCATGAAATATTTTTTATTTCAGACAATGTATTCTTTATTTCTTGTTGATCCCTTATTATTTCTAGTTGATCCCTTTTCATATCCTCATAGGTCTTGTTTATTTTATCGGCCTTTTCTAGGAGATTCTTGAACAACCTTATAAGTGTGGTTTTGAACTCTATATCCAGTCGCTTTTTGTCCTCCATTTCTTTCGTGTGTGATCTATTTGGTTTAGGCATTTTTGCAGGCAGCTTTCCTGATGGGGCGGGGTTTCAGGGTGGAGCCTACAGCCTTGGCTTCCGTCAGCCCCGCCCTATGCGACTCCTGAGACTCAGGGTCCTTCAGTACTTGTTGCGAGCGCCTCTGAGAGAAAGGTGCCCTCGATTTTCGCCTGCTGCCAAACTGTCTATGCTCTCCCCCAATGAGTCCGGTATTGGGGTTCAGTTCAGTTGGAAGTGGAGTTGGAGGTGGCGTTCAGAGCAGTCTGGAGCCCCTGTCTCCTTTCCGTCAGGGCAATCCCATGGCACAGCCGGCTGGCCCTTCTCTGCGCGCAGTGTGCGCGCCTCCGGGACCTCCTTTCACCGCTTCCCCAGAGTCCCGCCTTACAGCCCGGCTCCCTATGGATGAGCCTGGGTCCCCGGGGTCTGGCCTAGAACTGGGCTTCAGAGCAGTTGGAGCTGGGCCCAGCACAGTCGGAGCTTTTCTCTCCTTCCCGCTTGGGACCCCCAGCCAGGCACTCGGCCTCCCTCCTCTCCAGCTCTGTACTCTCCGCGCGCGCCGCGTGTCTCCGTACCTTGGGCTTTTACAGCTCCTCCGCGCTTCCTTCTGGTTTTCTCCTTGCTTCTTGTTGTAGAATTTCCAGTCATTCGACTTTCCTGTAGTTCTGGGTAATGTCCATTTTATGTTTTAGTTGTATTTTGTTGAAATTGTTGTGTGCGGCTGCGGCTAGTTGCCTACCCGAGCAGCCATCTTGGATTCTCCCAACTTTGTTCTTCTTTCTCAAGATTGCTGCAGCTACTAGTATTTGGGGTCTTTTTCTAGTTCCATATACATTTTTGGAGTATTCGTTCTAGATCTATGAAATATGCCATTAGTATTTTAATAGGGATTGCATTCAATCTATAGATTGCCTTGGGTAGTATAGACATTTTAATGATGTTTATTCTAACAATCCATGAACATGGGATATTCTTCCATTTGTTTATACCTTCTCTTTTTTTCAATGCCCTGTAGTTTTCTTTTTCTTTCTTTTAAAAAAAATATATTTTATTGATTTTTCACAGAGAGGAAAGAAGAGGGATAGAGAGCTAAAAACATCGATGAGAGAAACATCAACCAGCCGCCTCCTGCACACCCCCCACCGGGGATATGCCCGCAACCAAGGTACATGCCCTTGACCGGAATCGAACCTGGGACCCTTGAGTCTGCAGGCCGATGCTCCATCCACTGAGCCAAACCGGTTTCGGCCGCCCTGTAGTTTTCTGAGTACAAGTCTTTTACCTCCTTTGTTAAGTTCATTCCTAAGTATCTTAATTTTTTGTTGCAATGATAAATGTTGCAATGTTTTTGTTTTGTTTTAGTTTCTCTTTCTGATAATTCATTATTCTATATAATAAAAGTCTAATGTGCAAATTGTTCCCTTGACTGGGAGTTCTGCCGGGAGTTTGATCACTTGCTATGATGTGCTGTGCTCCCTGACCACCAGGGAGCAGCGTGGAACATGGCAGGTGTTGGTGATGTGGCATAGGCAGTGGCCAGCAGTGGAGGCGCTGCACGATGAGAGTGGGCTTGGGGCAGAATGGTGGAGCAGGTGAGTGGGCTGCACCAGGCCAAGGCAGGTGTGAGCCACTGGTCACCAGGTGGGGCGATTGCCCCGCTGATCCGATGGCCACACCACCACCGGGCTCCCAGGCTCTGAGTGAGCTGAGTAGGGGCCTTATGCAGGTGACCAGCAGTGGTGTAAGGGAGTGAGGCTGCTGCCCGGCTCATTCAGTGCCTGGAAGCCGGGCAGAGTAGGGTGATTGGCGGAGTGATCAGGCCCCACAGGCAGCAACCAGCAGCAGTGGCGAGGTCGGGGGCAGGTGGCAGGGGGAAGAGAGAGAGTACCCGACCAGCAGCCAGAAGCCACTAGGGAAACTACCAGTGGAAGAATTTTGTGCACTGGGCCTGTAGTTGGTGTATAAAAAAACTCTCAATTTTTTGGGTGTTGATTTTGTATTATGCTACATTTCCAAATTAATTTATTAAATCTAGGTTTTTGGTAGAGTCTTTAAGGTTTTCTATGTATAATATTATGTCTTCTGCAAATAATGAGAGTTTTACTTCCTCCTTTCCAATTTGGATGCCTTTTATTTCTTCTTGTCTGATCATTGTGACTAGGACTTCCAGTACTTTGTCAAACAGGTGTGTTGAGAGTGGACATCCCTGTCTTGGAAATGGTTTTAGTTTTTGCCCATTGAGTGTCATGTTCTCTGTAGGTTTGTCATATATGGTCTTTACGATGTTGAGATATGCTCCCTCTATTCCCAATTTGTTGATTTTTTTTTTTTAATCAAAAATGGGTGTTGGATTTTGTCAAATGCTTTTTCTGTGTCTATTAATATGTGATGTATCATGTGATTTTTGTCCTTCAGTTTGTTTATGTGATGTATCACATTTATTGATTTGTGAATATTGTACCAGCATTGCATCCCTGGAATAAATCCCATTTGGTCATGGAGTATGATTTAAAAAAAATATATATTGCTGGTGCCGAAACCAGTTTGGCTCAGTGGACAGAGCGTCGGCCTGCGGACTGAAAGGTCCCAGGTTCGGTTCCGGTCTAGGGCATGTACCTTAGTTGCAGGCACGTCCCCGGTAGGGGGTGTGCAGGAGGCCGCTGGTCGATGTTTCTCTGTCATCGACGTTTCTAGCTCTCTATCCTTCTCCCTTCCTCTCTGTGGAAAATCAATAAAATATATTAAAAAAAAATATATATATATTGCTGGATCTGATTTGCTAATATTTTATTGAGGATTTTAGCATCTATGTTCATCAAGTGATTTTGGTTTGTAATTCTCCTTCTTTTAGTGTCTTTATCTGGTTTTGGAATTAGGATAATGCTGGCCTCATAAAAAGAACTTGGAAGTGTTCTTTCCTCTTGGATTTTTTTGAATTTGTAGTTTGAGAAGTGTGGGTATTAGTTCTTCTTTGAATGTTTGGTAAAACTCCCCTGTGAAGGCATCCAGACACGGGCTTTTGTATGCTGGGAATTAAAAAAAATATATATTTTATTGCCGAAGCCGGTTTGGCTCAGTGGTAGAGCGTCAGTCTGCGGACTGAAGGGTCCCAGGTTCGATTCCAGTCAAGGGCATGTACATTGTTTGCGGGCACATCCCTGGTGGGGTGTATGCAGGAGGCAGCTGGCCGATGTTTCTCTCTTATCGACGTTTCTAGCTCTCTATCTTTCTCCCTTCCTCTCTCTGTAAAAAATCAGTAAAATATATCTATCCACTGAGCCAAACCGATTTCAGCTAGAAATTTTTTTTATTACTGCTTCTATTTCATCAGTTATTGGCCTAGTCAGGTTTTCTGATTCTTCCTGATTCAGTTTTGGGAGATAGTATTTTTTCTATGAATTTGTTCATTTCATCCAAATTGTCCAGCTTGTTGGCATATAGTTGTTCATAGTATTTTCTTTCTTTCTTTTTTTTAAATATATTTTATTGATTTAAAAATATATATTTTATTGTTTTTTTACAGAGAGGAAGAAAGAGGGATAGATAGTTAGAAACATCAATGAGAGAGAATCATCGATCAGCTGCCTCTTGCACCCCCCCCACTGGGGATGTGCCCTCAACCAAGGCACATGCCCTTGACCGGAATCGAACCCGGGACTCTTCAGTCCGCAGGCCGACACTCTATCCACTGAGCCAAACTGGCTTCAGCTGTTCATAGTATTTTCTTAAAATCCTTTTTATTTCTTTAAAAAATTTTTTTAATTGATTTTTTACAGAGAGGAAGGGAGAGGGATAGTTAGAAACATCAATGAGAGAGAAACATCAAGCAGCTGCCTCCTGCACACCTTCTACTGGGACTGTGGCCGCAACTAAGGAACATGCCCTTGACCAGAATTGAACTTGGGATCTTTCAGTCTGCAGGCCGATGCTCTATCCACTGAGCCAAACTGGTTAGGGTAAATCCTTTGTATTTCTGTGTCAGTGGTTACTTCACTTTTGTTTCTGATTTTAGTTAATTGGGTCCTCTTTGTTTCTTGATGAGTCTGGCTAATAGTTCATCAATCTTATTTATCCTTTCAAAGAATCAGCTCTTGGTTTCACTGATTTAGAAAAAAAAAATATATATATATAATATATATATATTATAATATATATATATATTATAATATATATATATATATATATTAGTCTTTATGTCATTTATTTTTGCTTTAATCTTTATTATTTCCTTCCTTCTACTTACTCTGGGATTTTCTTATTGTTCTCCTTCTAGTTCTTCAAGTTGTAGGGCTAAATAGTCTTTTTTTAAAAATTATTTTTTCTTATTTTCTTATTCATAGCCTGTAGTGCTATGAACTTCCCTCTCAGACTACTTTTGCTGTGTCCCAGAGATTTTGGGTAGTTGTGTGTTCATTTTCATTTGTTTCCCAAAAGTTTTTTTATTTTTTTCTTGATCTTATTGGTAACCCATTCAGTGTTTTTTGTTGTTGTTGTTGTTTTGTTTTTGTTTTTGTTTTTCCATTCAGTGTTTTAATAACATGCTATTTAGCCTTCATGAGTTTGAATGTTTGTGGGTGTTTTTAGTGTAGTTGATTTCTAATGTCATTCTACTATGATCTGAAAAATGCTTGATAGGATTTCAATGTTCTTGAATTTGCAGAGACTTGTTTTGTGTCCTAAAATGTGGTCTATCTTTGTGAATGATCCATGTGCACTTGAGAAGAATATATATTCTGCAGCTTTGGGGTGAAATGTTCTATAAATATCAATTAAACCCATCTGATTCAGTGTGTTCTTTAGAGCAGTGGTTCTCAACCTTTCTAATGCCACAACCTTTTAATACAGTTCCTCATGTTGTGGTGACCTCCAACCATAAAATTATTTTCATTGCTACTTCATAACTGTAATCTTGTTATTGTTTATGAATGGTAATGTAAATATCTATGTTTTTCGATGGTCTTAGGATCTACAGCAGTGGTTCTCAACCTGTAAGTTGTGGTTGAGAACAATTAAATGCCAACAAGCTGGATAATTTGGATGACATGAACAAATTTCATAGAAAAAATACAATCTCCTGAAACTGAATCAGGAAGTATCAGAAAACCTGACTAGGCCAATAATAACTGATAAAATAGAAACAGTAATAAAAAAAATTCCCAGCATACAAAAGCCCGTGTCTGGATGCCTTCACAGGGGAGTTTTACCAAACATTCAAAGAAGAACTAATACCCACACTTCTCAAACTATTCAAAAAAATCCAAGAGGAAAGAACACTTTTAAATTCTTTTTATAAGGCCAGCATTATCCTAATTCCAAAACCAGATAAAGAGAATTACAAGCCAAAATCACTTGATGAACATAGATGCTAAAATCCTCAATAAAATATTAGCAAATCAAATCCAACAATATATTAACAAAAAAATCATACCCCATGACCAAATGGAATTTATTCCAGGGATGTAAGGCTGGTACAATATTCACAGGTTGAGAATTCAGTTTGAGAACCACTGCTGTAGAGCCTAAGACCATCAGAAAATACAGATATTTACATTATGATTCATAACAGTAGCAAAATTACAGTTATGAAGTAGCAACAAAAATAATTTTATGGTTGGGGGTCATGACAACATGAGAAACTGTATTAAAGGGTTGTAGCATTAGAAAGGTTTAGAATGACTGCTTTAGTCACTGTTTCCTTCTTTTAAAAAATATATATTTTATTGATTTTTTACAGAGAGGAATGGAGAGGAAGTTAAGAAACATCAATGAGCCAGAAACATGGATTAGCTGCCACCTGCATGCCTCCTACTGGGGATGTGACCATAACCAAGGTACATGCCCTTGACTGGAATTGAACCTGGGACCTTTCAGTCCACAGGCTGAGGCTCTATCCACTGAGTCAAACCAGTTAGGGCAGAGTCACTGTTTCCTTGTTAATTTTTTGCCTGGAAGATCTATCCAGTGAAGTCAGTGGGGTGTTAAAATCCCCTCCTATGCCTGCATTGTGGTTGATCTTTCCCTTAATGTCCTCCAGAATTTTTAAAATAAATAAATAAATATTTATTTATTTGGGTGCTCTTATATTGGGTGTTATATTTACCAGGGTTATATCATCAGAGTAATTTCTTTAAAAATGCTTCCCACTACTTGTTGGGGGTAAGGGGACTAGTTATAGGAACATATACTGACCCCCTTTAGCCTTAAGGAGATGACTAGGTGACTGGAGCCCCAGGGTAGTGAGCTCCCATTTCAACAATCTTGACTCTTCATCCCTGTGTGAGGTCTAAATATTTCCATTTTCTGTGAGCTGTGTTGTGGAAAAGTTTGGGAAGCACCACATTATAGCATGGGTTCTAATCAAAAGAAAAAACAAACAAACACTGATCTACACTAAAAGCTGGGAGAAGGCTATATTCTGCATCTTTAGAGATTGGGAGCTGTCTCTGGAATCTCCCATTTAAATCGGATCTGGTGATTTCTCATTTCTTTTTGACAAGGTCTGGAGCTTTCGAGTGACTTGGCCCTGCCAGGTGACTTGGCCCTGCCAGGTGACAGTTGGGAGTAGGCCTGGTTAGCCCAGTTCAGCAGTAGGTGAGCTTCACTTAGGTTGCAGCCTTTTTCCTCCTAACGAAGTCAGCACACCTCTCCTTTCCAGCTCTCCTGCCTGAGACAACAAACTTGGTTTGCCTGATCTTGTGAAATCATGTTTACTTTTCAAATTGGATGCTTATGTGAACATTCTGTTTCCCAAATATATAACCCCACAACTGACATGCTCTTTCTGAAGTGGTGCAGTCTGTTGCCTTCTTGTTGATTCCAGCACTAGTACTTAAGAATTTTTTTTGTTTGTTTGTTTTTTCACAATGAAAATATTAAATAATTCATCTGCAAAACCACTTAGGCTCATCACTTTTTTTTTAAAAAAATCTATGGCTCCTTCAATATTTAAGAAATGTTCTTCCATTTTTTTTCCTTGTTTGTTGGCTTATTCAAATGTTTGTTGGGTTATTCCTGAGGTAGTAATAGAAGCTGAGTGCTTCTTGGGTGTCCTTAGTTTCATATAGTGTGATCTCATCTAATTCTGAGACCCCCTTCTCTGAGTCCCCATTTTCAGGCTTCTAAGTTTTCAAAGCTTGAGAACTCTGGTGCCCTAACAGCAACAAACAAACAAACAAACAAACAAACAAAAAACTCCCCACACATCTGGGAAAGAACCTGGTTCATGAGGCTGTAGTTTGTGACCCTTGATGACTAAACTGGGATATCCTGACGGTGGAGGGTCAGGTGGGACAAAACTCAGGAAGGAGGACCTTTCAGAAGGAGGAGAGGAAGTGGGGTGATGCTGCCTGCAGGCTCCTAGGTACCAGGCATCCGTGGCTAGTCCTGACTCTCATCCCACGGATGGGCGGTGAAGGATGGCTAAGAGGGAGTCAGGGGGCCTCCTGGCAGGCAGCCGTGAACTAATCCGGCCCTCAAGCGGCCACTCTGCCCCTCGGTGAATGAAGGAGTCCCTAGACCCGTGAAGCTCCGTGACCCCTGAACCGCGTGAGGTCTGACCCTTCCGGGCGAGCAGCCCCGCCCCCTGCGTCCGGCCCCGCCCCCTCCGCTGGACGTGGGCGCGGGGCACAGCGTCGTGCGCCACCTGCCGTTGTGCGCGCCGTTGGCGCACCACGTGGTTTCTGGGTCTCGAGGCGCGGGCGGCGGGAGGCGGCGGCGGGGCCGGAGCGGGAGCCCCAAGCGCGCCTGCGGCGTCGGGGTCGGAGGACCAAGTGCGTCGCCTGAGGTGCGTGGCGGCCGGGGCTGCGGGCTGAGGTGGCGGGCGGCAGGGGGGTCCGGAGCGGGGCGCGCGGAGTCTGAGGAGGCGCGACCCCCGCGGAGGGCGGAGGCGGGCACTCAGAGACTCCGCTTTTGTCCCCCAAGTTTACTCCGAGCGACGCGAGGCGGAGACCCGGAAAGGGGCGCGGCCGTGACGGCGTTACGGTCCCGGGGCGAGCCGGCGGGGCGCGGTGAGGCGCTGGGAAGATGCTGGAGGTCCAGGTGCTGAAGGTGAGAGGCACGGAGCCCGAGCGGGCGGGGCCCCTCCGCTCCCCCGCAGGCTTCTGGGGGGACGCGGTGTCCGACCCGGGTGGGGGTGCCGGCTGTGGCCCTGGGCTCTCTAAGGAGTCCCGTGCACTGTTTAGGACATAGCATGAGAGTTATTCGCCATTTTCCCGAAATTCCGGTGAGTGGGCGCGGCCAGTATTTATAATCCAGAATCTTGGGGTGTGGGCCGGACTGTTCCCCCACACACCCCGCGTCCGCGCTGGTGGAGCGCCTCTGCACGCCCAGGCCGGTGGATACGGGGACCCTGACCAACTCCCGACATGGGCCCTCTCCAGGGTCACTACCTCCGTTGGACAGGGACGGGGTGACCGGTAACCCTCTTCCCAGCCAACCCCTCACACTTGCGTTTGGCCTCCATTTGTGTGACTCCTGCCCGCTTGCACCGCTGCTCTGGCGGCCACTGGTGACCCTCACGCCTCGGGGCCTGCACCCTTGGAGCTGGGATGCGGGTGGGGGTTCGCGTCCCGGTGGGGGCTCACCCCGGGTGAGGCCTGCTGAGTTGGCGGCAGCTGCAGTTTCTCAGCCCTCGAGTCAGGTGAGTGTACCTTGGCGATGCAAGAGACTGGGGAAGGCGTGCTGTGTTCACCATGTTCCTTGGAGGAAGGAGTTTATAAACCAGAGCAAAGGGGTGGGTTTTGGTTCCTGGGAAAAAGGAAATATAAATTATGTTGTTGTAGTTTTTTTTGTTGGTTTTTAAAAAAATTATTTTATTGGTTTTCTATAAAGAGGAAGAGAGAGGGATAGAGAGAAACATCGATGAGAGAGAATCTTCGATCAGCTACCTCTTACATATTCCCTACTGGGGATGTGCCAGCAACCAAGGTACCAGCATTGAACCTGGGACTTTTCAGTCCACAGGCCGAAGCTCTATCTACTGAGCCAAACCGGTTTTGGCTGTTATAGTTTTTTAAAAATTACATTTCAGTGGGCAGAAGAGAGGGCCATAGCAAATGATGGGATTAAAAAAAACCCAAACTACATTCCTATTTTATGTCATGTTATTTTATATGAATTGAGATTCATAAACATTTGAAGTAGCTGTTTCTGACAGGATTTGCTCTGAGACTTTTAAGGGTTTCAGATCCATCTGCTAAACTCCTAGGAACCTCTCTCTTTTAATTGGATTCAGGAACCTTTTTATCTACCCCCTTAGCTTTGGTCTGCCCCCAACTTCCTGCTCTGACCGTGCTCACACTGAGCAAATTATTTAGACAATATAGGAGAATTTATTTTCCCCAAGTGTAGTGTACTAGTAAGTACCGGTTGTTGTTTTCCAGATTAAGTTAGCTTTTACATGGATGAAATATTTTTCCTCACATGTCCATCAGGTGATGAATAGGCAAGCAAAATTTGGAAGATACATTCAATGGAATATTATTCGGCTCTAAAAAGGCAGGAGCTCTGGCTGGTGTTGTCAGTGGATAGAGTGCAGCCAGTACACTGAAGGGTTGTGGGTTCAATTTCTGGTCAAGGGCATGTACATAGGTTACAGGTTTGATCCCTGGCCCTGCTTGGGGCATGTGCAGGAGAAAACCAATTAATGTGTGTCTCTCGCCTCCCTCCATCCTTTCCACTCTATAAAAATCAGTGGGAAAAATATCCTCAGGTGAGGATTAACAAAAATAAAGGATCCTGGTGATCCAATTCCATTCAAGTCCCAGCTCTTTGGATACTTGGGGACTTTGATTCTGCCTGCTATTTACTTACTTATTTGGGTTAAAATATCCTTACCGAGGATATTTTTTTCCATTGATTTTTAAAGAGTGGAAGTGGGGTGGGGTGGGAGGAGAGAGGCAGAAGCATTGACATGTGAGAGACAGTTTGGTTGCTTCCTGCACATACCCCAACTGGGGCCAGGTATTGAACCAGCAACCCAGGTATGTGCCCTTGACCAGGAATCGAACCTGCGTCTCTTTGGTGCATGGGCCGATGCTCTACCCACTGAGAACACATTCCAGTGCAGTTCTGGGTATTATAGAAGGTCAAAATTCTCTCCTGTGAGCTTGCTTTGGTTACATGACTTAGGTTATTCTTGAAAAACAATTCAGCATCTAATTATAAACAGGACAAGTGTTTATAATTGAACTGGTTCTGGGGTTACACATATTTCAAAGGGATGGGAAGGATTCACAACTGTAAGCCCTTTAGTAAAGGAAGTCAACGGCATTTGTCAGGTGTTGGCCAGAACAAACAATAAATTCTGGCAGGCACACCAGAGTTTGGGTGGCCTCTTAGTGCAGAGGTTGAGACAAGTCCGTGCGCTGAGAGTTCTACAGTTCTCATGAGCAGCAGCTTTACTAGTAAAACTGTTTCTTTCAACTTTCCAATGCTGCTTTTCTCTGGACTCCTTGGAGTCTTATCTTCGCAATTCTGCCAAGGGTTGAGGGTTTTCTGATGCAGACCTTAGGGCTTTCCCTCTGTGGCTCTTCAGAATTTCTCGCCTTAATTATAGCTGCTCTGGCAGGTCCATACTCTGTTCTCTGGCTCCTCTAGCCACAGACTGTGGCTTTCGACTTGAGTTTGTAGCTTCTCTGCACCACCTGGACTGGGGAGAGTTCCCGAGAAAGCTGCATGTAAATGTAGAAAGAAGATTAATTCAAACACCTGTATTCCTGCCACTGGGTACCTAGAAGCCAAATCTTGGAATGTCATTGCTTTTAGGCTCTTTTAGGAGGAAGGTTTAGGAAATAGACACATAAGATAACTACATAAATAACTTCCTATTACTTTCAATTCAAATTTAATTTTTCATTTTATATTTGCATCTTTAATAGTGAAAATCTTAGTTTCTAAGATAACAAGATACATTCAAAGAAATATGACTTTCATCTCTGTTCTTTTGTATCCCATTTCTGGCTTCCTCTATAGGTAATAATTTGTATTTGGTTTTGTTATCTACCTTCATTTATTTCTTTGGACATGAGCAGAATGTATATTTCCTTCTTACTTTTTAAAAATAATATATTTTTATTGATTTTAGAGAGGAAGGAAAAAAGAGAGAAAGAGAAAGAGATAGAAAATCAATGATGAGAATCATTGGTCAGCTGCTTTCTACACGCCCCTACTGGGGATCAAGCCCACAATCAGGCATGAGCCCTGACCAGGAATCGAACCAATACCTCTGGGTTCATAGGTCACTGCTCAACCAGTGAGCATATCAGCTGGGGTATTTCCTCTCTTTCTTATGAAAGACATAGGATACTAAAAACATTGCCTGAACCTTACTTTTACATTTTATTATGGATATTTTCAAAATACAGGAGCTCAAGGATATTGATCTCTGCTTTTTGAGTCATAATACATAATAAAGAATTACATATTATTGGTGACATGTTTTAGATTTTATTTTTGTGTCTTTTATCTTTTTTTCCTAGCTTTATTGAAAGGCAATTAACTGTAACATTGTATAAGTTTAAGGCATACAACATGATGATTTGATATGCATGTATATTGAGGGTCTTTTATCTTTGGTCTGACTATTTAAAAGAGGTGCTTATCAAGAATTTGTTAGATCACTTAAATTAGAAACAGTCATTGTGATTCTAAGTTTTATTATTTTGCGGTTCTACTTTAAAATCATGCATTATTTTGTTTGTCTTAAAATTTTACAGATTGAAGATCTAGGTTGCTTCTGGGTTATTATAAAAGGGAATAGTCCCCTTTTAGATCATGAAGCTGACTACCAAGAACTAAATAGTGCCATGAATGACTTCTATAATAGCATGCGTCAAGATATCAAAATAAAACCATTAATGTTGGAAGAAGGGCAGGTATGTATCTAAATGTGCTTTAAGCACCATCTCTTGAAATACTTCTCAAAATATAGAATATTTTGGCAACTAAGATGATAAAAGATTTTAAAGTATTCTGTGGCTTGTAATCATTGCCTTGTGTTAAGTTCTTTTGTTAAGTTCTTTTGGTTGCACAGGTTAATCATGGAACATGGCAGTTGTATAGGGTCATATGGGGCAACAGGAGATGGACTGTAAATTCAGGCATTGGGTCCACCCTCTTGAGACCAGAGGTATTATTCTAGATTTATCACAGGTGTTGGCACCTCAGCAAAGAGGATATGGGGGTTTGCAGTCTAGGGTTGACGCTTCCCTTGTAGTTTGCCCATGACTTTGGTCAATTCATGCTCCTTTATTTTTCTTACCCTAAATCATTGTTCTTCCTTGCTTTCTTGTAGCCTCAATTCCAAATCCTGTTATCTGATTCTGTCTATAGATCAGTTATTTCTCAGAAAAGTTTGAATTTTTTAAATAGCATGATAGGAAAAGATTTATAAACTCTTTATGAGAAAAATTATAAACAATTTTAATTCCTTAAAATGGCTGCAATGAGAAGGCAGGCTGCAAGATAGTATATGAATGAGAGAATGAAAGGAGAGTGTGTGGATGTGCGGGTAGTGTCTATTTGTGAGTGAGGGACAACTATATTCCAAGGGACTGTTGGGGACTGCTGAACTGGTCAGCCTCCACTGCTGCTGAAATCTCTCCCGGAGCGACTGGCTCTGCCACAGAGACCACACCATTTGAAGGAGAGAGTGGCTTTGATCAGAAGCTGAGTCTTACCTTCAATTGGGAAGAATCAGATGCTCCTGGGACTCTACAACTACAACAGCCAGAGACCAGCTGCGAACCCACAAACACCAGGTTTCAAGCAGCATGAATACGCAGACTTGGATGAGCTCTGCACCTTCTCACAGAAAGGTCAGATTTCGCCCAGAGAAAGGTGAGGTCTGCGATCCAGGCTGGAGGGAGAAATGCGCACAGCAGGATCTAGAGTAGGGGTGTCAAACTCAATCAGAGAAGGGGCCAAAATCTAAAATCCAGCCTAAATCGCGGGCCGAATGGTTTACTGAACAGTCATAAACTGTCATTGTGATGGAAATGCAGCGGAGTGCAGTGATGACAGCGCGGTGCGGGCCACATTGCAAGGCCTGGCGGGACGGATTTGGCCCTCTGGCCTTGTGTTTGACACATGTGATCTAGAGGTTCAGAGGAAGTCTGCGCCTCACAAAATCGGTGGCCATTGGGGCCAGTGTAGTCTGTGAATGTGGCAGGACTGCTGATAGAAGGGAACTCTAGAAATCAACCCATAGTTGGGCTGAGCACAAAAAAGCAGCCTGAAGCTTTACCAGTAAACTTGCTGTGCTGTGCAGGGAAGCGGTGGGAGAGAAGACGTGCACAGAGACATAAGCAGAATTGTGCCCAGTGCAGGGGCAAAAAAGCCATGAGTTTGTGCACTTTGACTCTTTTTTCTCTCTTTAAATCCTTGCTTTTGATTGCTAAGCCCAGTACATAGGAACACCCAATTAAAAACACTCTCAGAGACTGCAGGGGAAAGTTGTTTTTGTGGAACCTGGGATCAGAGTGGGGAGAAATGATAGGGAAAAAACCCAGTCCTGGGGCAGACCATACCCCCAAGCCAGTATTAAGTGCAGCAGGGAAAACAGATTGTAAATACTGAGTAAGGAGGACTTTATAGCCCCAGATGTCAATCCAGAAACACTGCCACCCAAGGGTTGAATCACAAATTGACTCTTGTGTAAACACAACTACAGGCAGGCTGAGAAACAAAGAAATACTGCCTGTTTGAAAACAAGATTGTGACTATGACACAAAGGAGTGGTGGAACACAGGGAACTTCAGTACTGTCCTGACTACCTGACAAGAAACACGTGTGCCAAACTGCACATTTTTATTTTTTATCTTTTAAGAAACTATTTTTTTGTTTTTTCTGACTTGATTTTAACTTTTTAATTATTATATATTTTTAAAATCAGTATTATTACTACTGATTTTATCTTTTTAAAAAAAGTTTTATTTTAATTTTCTCTTTATTTTATTTTGGCATTAGTGTTCTACATTCTATTTTAATTTTTTCTTTAGCATCATTTTACTCTATCTCAACTTTACCTTTATGCTAACACACTCTCACTTTTCCCCTTTGTTGTCCTGTTTTTATTTCCCTATTCCTGCTTTAGATTTTCTCTATTCCTTCTTTTTACTCCCTGTTAATTCATCCTACTTATATATCTAATTTCCAGTCCCTTGCTCCAAGTCCATACACATCTCTCTTCTCTTCCTTTTTTGTTTTTTTAAAATGTTTTTTGTTTTATTTTGTTTTCTTCTTTTTCTCTGTCCTATTGTTGTTAGATTGTTGATTAGCTTTTTTTTTGTTTGTTTATGTGATTGTTTCTCTTTTTTTGCTTCTGTTTTTCATCTCACTTGTTATTATTTGTTGTTTATAGTTTGCATTCATATCTAGGTGTTAGTTGTTTGCATTTTTTTGATTAGTTGTTGTTCTATTTGAGTTTCCCCTCATATAAATAGTTTTTCCACCTTTTTTATTCTCCTTATTTTCTCTCTTATTTTTTATCCTATTTTTTTGCACTATTTTTTTTTTAAATCCCCTAATTCTCTCTCTCTCTTTTTTTTTAATAACCCCAAATAAAGGTGAACCCCAAATAAAGGTGGTCACCTTTATTTGGGGTTATTAGTATCATGAATACATTTGTGTTCAGTGCCTTGTGCATTGTGCCTTGTTGTGTTGTATTTTGTGCCTTTAAGTCAATGCAGGAGAGAGAGAGCTATATGATCAGACACCCAGAGAGGAGAGATTATAGGGAGACAAAGAAACAGCTCACATATGGAAGAAAAGCAGGCATCACTAGGAAAGGAAGTAAATTAAATGGAAAAAAGCAACCTGCCAGAGAAAGAATTCAGAGAAAGGTCATAAGGTCAGAAGACAAATTCAACAATATGTATAAGAACCAAGAGGAAATGAAGAAGAACCAAGAAGAAATGAAAAATGACATCACTACAATAAAGAACTCAGTAGAAAGTATCAACAGTAGAGTAGAAGAAATGGAGAATTGCATCAGTGAGCTAGAAGACAAAATGGGGAAAAAAATACCCAAGCAGAGCAGCATCTAGGAAAAAAACTTGAAAAAAGGAGGAGAGCCTAAGGGAACTTTGGGACAACACGAAACGAAACAACATCTACATAATAGGGGTGCCAGAAGGAGAGAAAAATGAGCAAGGAATAGAAAACCTGTTTAAAGAAATAATCACAGAAAACTTCCCTGATACAGGGAAGAGAAAAACTCACACAAGTCCAAGATGCTCACATAGTCCCAAACAAAATGAACCCTGAAAGACCGACACCAAAGTACATTATAATTAAACTAGATGCCTGATGCACGAAAATTCATGCAGAATGGGCCTTCTTTATCCTGGCTGCCAGCACAGCCTTTGCTCTGGCCCGGAGCTGCCTTTCTGCCTTCCCACGCTGCCCAGAGGCCCTCAGTGGCTGGGGTGCTGCCCCCAGCTACTGGGTGCCTGTATTTGCAAATTAAGCTGCCATCTTTGTTGGGCTAATTTGCATATTCACTTCTGATTGGCTGGTGGGCGTTGCAAAGGTATGGTCAGTTTCCATCTTTCTCTTTTATTAGTGTAGACTGGCAAACAACAGCGATAAAGTAAGAATCTTAAAAGCAGCCAGAGAGAGACAGAAAGTTACCCATCAGACTAACGACTGATTTCTCAACAGAAGCACATCAGGCCAGAAGGGAATGGAATGAAATGCACAAAGTTGTGCAAAGGAAGGGTCTGAATCCAAGAATACTGTACCCAGCAAGGCTATCAATCAAAATTGAAGGTGAAATCAGGAGCTTCACAGACAAAAAAGACTAGGAGTTTATTACCTCCAAACCAGCAATACAAGAAATATTGGGTCTGCTGTAAAAAGAAGAAATAGGAAGTGAAGAAGGAACACAGGGATAAAAAATAAAAATGGTGACAAGTACTTATCAATAATAACTTTAAATATAAATGGATTAAATGCCCCAATCAAAAGACATAGGGTAGCTGAGTGGATAAAAAAACCTGCTGTCTACAGAAAATCCACTTCAGATAAAAGGACTCACACAGATTGATGGTGAAAGGATGGAAAAGGTATTTCAGGTGAGTGGAAATGAGAAAAAAAAGTGGGATAGCAATACTTCTATCTGACAAATTAGGTCTCAAAGTGAAGGACATAACAAGAGATAAGGAAGGCCACTTCATAATACTAAAGGGAGCAATCCAACAAGAAGATATAACTCTGGTAAACACATCACCAAATGCAGGAGCACCCAAGTACATAAAAAAACTGGAGGCTATCAAGGGAGAGATTAACAGCAATACAGTCACAGTAGGTACTTTAATACCCCACTAACACCACTGGGCAAATACTCTAAACAAAAAATCAGCAAAGAAATAATCCTAAATGACATGCTATATCAGAATGAATTAATTGACCTCTTCAGAACATTTCACCCCCAGCCATAGAATATATATTCTTCTCCAGTGCATGAGTCATTTTCAAAGATAGACCACAGGCAAAGTCTCTTCAAATTAAAGAAGATAGAAATCATATCAAGCATCTTCTCAGATCACAATGGCATAAAACTAGAAATCAACTACAATAAAAACAATGAAAAATAATCAAACACCTGGAGGCTAAATAGCATGCTATTGAACAATGCCTGGATTACCAGAGAGATAAAAGAAAAAATAAAAAGCATCATGGCCATAAACGACAATGAAAACATAACAATCTAAAATCTGTGAGACACAGTGAAAGCAGTCTTCAGAGGGAAGTTTATAGCTCTACAGGCCTACCGGAAAATACAAGAAACAATGGTAATAAATTATCTAAACCTACAACTCAGAAAGAGAGCAACAAGAAAATCCCAGTGTAAGCAGAAGGATGGAAATGATAA